ACACTACATCCACCACCCACAGCAACGCACACTTGACACACAACACATTCCTCTTATCGTTCAACAAGCTCTTCACTCATGCATTTTCCAAGCTTGCAACACCTACTACAAACAAATTCAAGGAGCCGGCATTGGCAGTCAGCTCTCACCAGCACTTTGCAACGTGGCAATCACGCTCATCGAACACACTTGGCAAACCACATACCACAACTTCTTACACCAACCAAGCCTTCACTTGCTCAACACTCGCTATGTCGACAACCGATACATCTTGCTCAACGAACAACACAGATCAGCACTCCCCATCACTACATTGGCCCATCCTGAATTTTATGAACAGCCAGTTGAAATAGAGCCAGTGGACAACGACCATCTACTCGGTTTCCTGATTGACCCTCTCAACAGAACCGTCACCTTCCAACTCCCCACCCATTCCTGGCAGATTCGTGATCCGCAGTCAGCAGGGAGTCACAGACTACGCCTTTCAGGCTTACAATCACGCCACCACACACTACAAAAATACACTTACCCAAAACATCTTACACACACGACAGCACAGAAGTTGATGCAGCTATATATGGCCAAAGGCCATTCACCCACCCGCACACTGCGCCGCGGCGCTGCGGCCAAGAGGAAAAAGACTATGTGCCAGCACTTTCGCAGACTGCTGTGATATGCATTTTACAGTATTGAACCTTTCAATGTCAAGCACTTCCACTATTTATTATCCAGGCCCTACCTGATCCGATCTAGTTGCGCCGATACGGCTCAGTGTGTGTGTCCACTCCTGTTTCCAAGGACACTACTCTAGTTTTTCTACTCTACCCTACAAGCTTTTCTGTACAGAGGCAGGGGGACAACCCCATGGATGCAGTTGGTTGTCCAACGAAGAGGGCTGCATTCCATGGCTGATATGATCCTGGGACGCTAGGATCACGTACCTGCAATTTTAATCCTAATTTTGATTTTCAATCGCTGAGATTTCTAAGTCAGTGCAACGCCGTCTCATACGTTGTTTCCTGCAGTATCTAGATTTAAAGGGCTAATGCACACCGCGAAGCTACCTGAAATCACGCTCCACGGAGCAACCTTCTCAAGTGTGTGGCAGTTGCGATGGCATGTCTGATATGATGGGTTTTAACATGGTTTAACTAGATGTAGATATCTTAGATGTGCGTTGAAGCTGTGCATGCCTAGTGGACCAAACCCAATTGGCGAACGGCGACCCGACCGCCCCGAGGAAAGAACGCTGACCTGATCAAGTGGCGTGTGCTACACATCTATTGTTTTTCCAGGGTTTTCTACATCCCTAAGTGGTGCAGAAAACCCTCCTCGTTCTTCAACAGCTGGTCACTCGTTCTTCAAACCCCCCCCCCATCAGTCCCGGCTGGTCGAACCAAAATGGGCCGGCAGGGCCGACACCGTCGACACCATGTGGGTCGCAGCACTTGAGGGGTCGTCTTCGATATGGCACTGCATCGATTTGTGGGGGGTGTTGAGGAGCCCGGCTGGTGGAGTGGCGCAGCTGATATCAGCTGATCCAGCTCCGCCGGTCACCAGGCGTTGCATGGGACTGAGGGGGCCAAACGACCTGTGAGACCGGGGTGACAATCATTGATGTAAACCAGGATATGCAGATGTCTGTGATCTCACACCGATTTCCCAAAAGAAATCGGTCATCAACCTCTGAACTCGGGGTATCTAATGTATATAGATATTCCATACGGTTTTGCTCTCTTCACCGGATAGCATCCTTCCCAACCTTGCCTCATTGGGTTCTGCCTTGGTGTCGGGAAGTGGTGGTAACAACCCTGATCATGGGTCCCCAAGGGCCCACGAAGCCGGACCAATCACCTCCTCCCAGGTGTCCGTCATCTCGCAGTCGACGGAGGGCACGATACAGCCATCGTCATCGGAGAAGGGCTTTTCCTTCCTGAAAAAGAGACGGACTCGCTTCAGCAGAGACCCCATCTGTTGTAAGGGCGACCTACCTACCTACCTACCGTAGCCCCCTGTGCACTTCCGGTGGGTTTCTCATCGGGAAACCAGCAACCACCCCAACCTCTTGCTGTCGTTTCAGTGTTGCTGTCGCTCCCACCGGCAAAGCTGCAACCAATCCCGGTGACTTCCACGGTGTTTGTTTGCACCGGGTCGGAGCGTTTTGGGTCGGACGGAATCGGGCGGATCCCAAACCAGCAGCTTTGGTGATAAGCACATGGATCGTTCTTGTGCGAGGTTCTAAGCTCTTCCAGTACATCCTCCAAGTGGACCTTTCAAAGTATGTCAAAAGGCTGCCAGCATGGTCCACTCTAACTCATGATACTCATGAGTGTCCATTGGGCGAGTGGACTAGCTGCGACTCGCGAGTGGACTAGCCTCATCGGTGAGTGCCCCCTGGATCACCCTCCTGGGGCACCACCTGGTGGACTCCTACAAGAGAAAAACCATCTAAAAGGTACCGAAGGGAGTTCCTTCCTGGCCTTCTCAAGCACCTGGTCCCCCAAAAAGGGGTACAGGTACTTGGAGTCTTTCTCAAGCCTAGCACCTGCCAAGTGTCGACTGGATCTTGTCCCCATAGCATGGCAAGCCACACTGATTATTCTCGGCCTGGTCGCGCCAGGAGACTCTGGGTCCAATGGTCCACGCGGTCTAAGCTTCAGCTTAAGCATCTGTCATGCTTAAGAAGAAGACCGCCTTGAAGTCATGGCTGCAGGAAGGTGAAGGAATCGTTGCTGTAAACCCGGCCCAAATCATGGAAGAGACGGAGGTCTTTGATGGAGATCTTACATCCTGGCCGTGGTCAAGTGGGAAGGCCAACTCACTGGGCCCATATCCCCCCAACAATGATCCCCCCAAACGGTTCCAACCCTTTGGAGCTCCATCCTCTTTCATCCCCTCAATCAACCTCCAATTGCCCATCCACCCACCCCGGGTGACCCCTCCAGTCACCGGAAGACGCCTGGATGGACCGGTGCCGGAACATGAGCCCGGCGCAGCCGGTGCCGGGGAACCACTCGCTCCACTCCGAGAAGAGGCAGTCCGTGGGGACGCAGCGCACGCACTCCTGCAGCCATCCGCTTCCGCTTCCGCGGAAGCGCCCCGGTTGGGCGCTTTAGTGCCCCCAGACAGCGAAGTGGGTCGAAGGAGAAGGAGCGAAGCGAAGGGGCGAACCGAAGGGGCGAACCGAACTGTCCGAGTCTGTTTCACAGAGAGGTTGATGCAGCAAGTGAATCGCTTCCAAGATCGGTTTATTTCGCAGTCTTGTGGTCACCGTAGTCACCGTGGTCTGGTCCTGGGGGGATCACTCAAATGCGCTTGGACCGTGAATCGCTTTAGTAAAAAAGGGCCGTTTATACAAACATGATCAAAAATGGCTGTTGATGTTCTTTCTTGTGACCATTGTCCCCCAGCAAACCACTAGTTCATATGCATATAGCGACACTTTTGGAGTCGGAAATGGTAACAGGGGAGTCACCAGGGTCGGCAATGGTAGCCGGCAAAAAGCATGGGAAGAAGCACCACCCTTGGCATGCTCATGGAATGACATTCCGAGGGTCAACATTTCTCTGAGCATACCCCATGCTAGCTGCAAGTGGATCATTTCCATACCTTATCATACCCTCAACATCCCAAATCCCAAGCACTGAAGCTCAAGTGATCTTCTTTTCCGCGATCTGAACCCCTTTGGCCACCCGAACCCGCCGAAAAGGACCCGCCGCCCCTCCCGTCCGGCAAGTCATCGCAGGAAGACCACTGCTCTTCGTGGCCCTCGCACTCGTGATAGAGAGAACCAAACTTCCGTGACCTGCGCCCCTGGTAGACCTGCCGGCCGCCCCCCCCCCGGCGGCAGAGCGGCAGAAGGACCCCCCCCCCCCCACGGCGTAGAACCCCAAGAAGCTGAGCCGCAGCCATATTGGCGCTGCAGTCCCGCAATCAAAAGGGAACTTGGAAGATGGTGATTTACTGTAGCATGATTGAAAGCAGGATGATGGTATGACAGTTTTGTTGGAAAGATCTGAACTCTGAGTTATCTATGGGCCGTCCCTTTGGTTCACTTTTGACCCACACTCACCTGGCCATGGTTGGCATGGTACGCTGATTCGGGCACGTGGATTGGATCTGGTAGCTCGACGTGAGGGACAACATCGTGGTAAGCTGCATGAGGCATTCCCACTGGTCCGTCTGCGTTGTCTGATGCGTGATCGTGGTAAGTAGCATGTGGTATGTTCACAGAGGGATGGCTGTGGTAGGAGGCATGTGGCACCTCAACTGCTTCGTGGCT